CCCGACCTGCTCACGCCGCCCCAGACACACCTTCCCGACCCCCCGGCTCACAGCCCCCTCCCCATCTGCCGCGCGCGCTACCCCCTGCGCGTCTCAAACACAGCGCCCGGCGCCGCCTCTGATTGGCCGGCTGCGTCCGTTCGAACCTCAGGTCTCCACCGCTCAACTGCCAGCCATAGCGACCAGCGAGGTGCCTGAGTCCAGCCGCTCCTCGGGGCCAAGCGCCGCCGGGGGAACGGGCACCGACTCCCCTCCTGAAACTCTTTGAAATGCGGCGTTTTCTGCGCGGGCTCTTAGTCCGAAGGCGCTGCGGGGTTTATTTTTCAGGCGCTCTCAGAACATACCTAAAGCGCCGTCGCCAGAGGAACTGGGGGCTACGGCAGCCGGTAGAGGCCGCTATTAGCATCAAAGTGAGATAGAAAAACTTCGCATTGAGACCGCCTACAGTGGGCCACTTCTGCGGGGAGGCGTCTCGCCTCCCCAGCCAGGACCAGGCGTCCGGGAGCGAGCCCGGCCTCCCACTCCCCGCAAAACGATGGTCGCGTCAGTGCCGGGGGCGTGGGGCGGCCCGCTCGCTTTGGACAGTCTGGCTCGTCACTAGCAAGAGCCGGCCGCCCAGGAGCCCGTAACACTCCCACCAACAGCCCTGTGCGGCCGGGGAGAGCTCTCCCCTTCGGTAGCCAGGCCCCACGCTCCACGCACAGGGGCTGGGAGTTAGCAGAGCCTCCCCAGCCCTAGTGCAGGGCCTGGCAGCCAGCAACCAGCCCCAGGGGCCCACAGACTATGGGCTGCTCCCACTGGACTGGAGGGCTACGTCTAGACTGGCACGATTTTCTGCAAATGCTTTTAATGGAAAAGTTTTCTGTTAAAAGCATTTGCGGAAAAGAGCGTCTAGATTGGCACGGACCCTTTTCTGCAAAAGCACTTTTTGCAGAAAAGCGTCCGTGCCAATCCAGACGTGCTTTTGCGCAAAAAAAGCCCCGATCGTCATTTTCGCAATCGAGAGTTTTTTGTGCAATACAAATCTGAGCTGTCTACACTGGCCCTTTTGCGCACAAGCTTTGCGCAAAAGGACTTTTGCCCAAACGGGAGCAGCATACTATTTCCGCAAGAAGCACTGATTTCAGACAGTAGGAAGTCAGTGTTCTTGCGGTAATTCAAGCGGCCAGTTTAGACACCTGGCAAGTTTTTCCTCAAAAGCAGGTGCTTTTGCGGAAAAACTTGCCAGTCTAGACACAGTGGAGCAGTCCCCGGCCCAGATCCCCCTTTAGTCAGTTAACTGATTAAATAACAAAAGGTCTGGTAGCACTTTATAGACTAACAAAACATGTATTTCGTGGGCATAGCCCACTTCTTCAGGCGACCAGAGTTTTGAGTTTAGAATGTGCACACCTAAAACAAATAGGAGAAAAGGAGGAGGGGCAAGGGGAAAAAAAGGAGAGGTGGGAAACGGAGCAGAGGATATAGAAAATTCAGGAAGGTAGAGGGAATCAGTAAGTATCTGAAGATTGGGTAGTTAAAACAAAGCAGATAAGAATCAAAGTCAAGTGATCTAATCCTTCCTGACCCGAATCTACACAAAGAGCTGTTTGCACCTTCATTGACTGTTGTTAGGCAGATAGTGTCTCAACCATCCTTCATCAAGAAAGATACTATCAATTGTCTCTCACCCCCTCCTTTTTTTCTCCCTTGCCTCTCTTCCTCCCCCCCCCATTTATTTTGGGTTTGCATATCCTAAACTCAAACTCTCATCATCTGCAGAAGTGTGCTGTGCCCATGAAAGCTCATCTACATGTTTTGTTAGTCTATAAAGTGCTACCAGACCATTTGTTTTTTTCTGTACAGACTAACATATTTGCCTCCTGAAGCAACTGATTAAATGTTAGGTTAACCTAACATATGACAGATTAACCTAACATATGACAGATTAACTGATTAACCAGGATTTTACATCCCTACTTTGAACCACCCCCAGCATGAAAAGCCAGGAATCCCTCCCTTCTCCTTTCATGGAGCAGGAGAAGAGAACAGCACTGGGACTCTAGTGATCATGAAGCAGTGTCAGAGCTGTTCACATTTCTTTGGTTTTACATATCGCCAACAAGGAGAAGGGCCAGTTGCAATGACCATGCAGCACAAATGAGAGGTTAGAGAGCCAGATCTCAGCTGAGCTCCTTAGGCTGGCACTAGAAGACATGGTGATCTCATAGACAACTTTGTAATTTGCTAGGAGTGCCTTCTTCTCCTGCCCCATTACTTTCCAGTTACTGCTGCCCCTTCCCCATTCTCTTGGCTCCTCTGTCTCCTGCTGCCTCTCATCCACTTATCTCTGTTTTTTTCTACTCCTCTCCTCTTGGGACCCCTTTGATTTTCATTCTTCCTGCTGCTGCTGCCTCCACCCTTGCCCTTTCACCCTTTTGATGTTGCTTCCTCAGTTCTTCTCCCTCTTTGCTGTCCTCACCATCAATTCACCTCCTCATGCAGCTACCTCCAGCCAATGTCTTCTCTCCCCCTTACAACCCCAGGATCTTGTTCAGGAAAACTGCTGATGCTCAGGAGACTAAACTGGGATCTGAGCTGGTCCAGTTGCTGTAGCAAGTGGTGGATCTGGCCAGAAAGAAGGTATTTCTTCGAGTTCAGCCCCCGCAGCAGGAGATGTGTGTTATGTGGCTCCAGCCTCCCCAGCCAGGAGGACAGGTGCTGGGGGCAGCAACACCTTGCTCCCAGAATGCCTACATTTGGCATTCAGGAGGCAGAGTGTGGGCAAGGCCATGCCAGGCGGTTTGGGAAGGCAAAGCCTTGCCCCACCTAGGCTACCAGATGCCTATAGTTATGCAACAGCCCAGACTATCCCATTACAGGACTTGTGGTCAAGCAAACTCCACCACCAAGCCCTGTGGTGCACCCATCCACACAGTCTTTTCCCTTGGGTTGTAACCATATATTTTTTCTGTAGCCATATTGGAAGGCCTGTAGACATACTGAAAGGCCTAAACTAAAGCCTTCTTTTGCAGCCAGACTGAAAGCAGCCATTAGCTGTAAAGCCTGGAGTCACATACTCACATTCCATCTAAATTGCATTAAAATAGTGTCACACTAGGCTGTGAGAAGGGGATCCTATCCTAATAGCACTCACTGTCACCAGATAAAGAAACAGATATCAAGATGGGTAAAGAAAACTTAATTAACAGCATTTTGTCTGGGAAGAAACTGTTTACCAATAGTTGAGATTGTGGAATCTGCATTTGATGATTATTGTCCTCACTTTCCTATTGTTTGTCTGTGTGATCTCTGTCTGGTTTGTAACTGTTTCTGTCTTCTGTATAATTAATTTTGCTAGGTGTAAATCAACTAAGATTGTGGGATATGATTGGTTAGGTAAATCTCTTACAGTATGTTATGATTGGTTAGAAAAAGTATACTAAAATAATTGGTTACAGTATATAGCTAAGCAGGACTCAAGTTTCATTATATAAACTGGGGTCCAAGAAGGAGACAGGCAAGCAAAAGGAAAGAAGGAAAAGAAGGAAAAGAAAGAAAGAAAGAAAGAAAGAAAGAAAGAAAGAAAGAAAGAAAGAAAGAAAGAAAGAAAGAAAGAAAGAAAGAAAGAAAGAAAGAAAGAAGACCCGGAAGAACTCACCTCCAAGACACAGCCTCCTCTGCATGACCATGACGTGCAGCAGCTAAGATCCAGAGAGACTGACCTTTCCTGGTCAACAGGGGAAGTCTGCCTGCCTTTATCAGGATTGGTGAGCATGACACTGTATGCTTAGCACGTGTATTCTGCTTGCTTGGAAATTGTCAATAAATAGAGAATGAGAATATTACTGTGTGAGGCTCTTTCAGTGGCAAAAGATCCTGCAAACCCACAGGAACTTATGCCCTGAGCCCTAGGAATTGGGTAAGGGTGGATGTTTAAATTAACAGGGTTGCACCTTGAGCCCTAGGAACTGGGTAAAGGTGTGTGTCCCTAAAGTATAGAAGGGATAGAGAAAATTGTGCGGGCAACAAGGTCTCAAGACTGGGAGGCAGCCATCCTGCATGCTAGGGTGCGCTGAGGGAGTAAATGTAAAGTCCTGCTTCCCATAAGCATTGAGGGGTTTTCTCCTTGGCTTGGGTGCTTTCTCAGCACGCCACACCCCATAATTCCAACATTCTGTCCCAGCCTGGAGCCCCCTTCCGGAGCCAGCATCCCTACCTCCATCCCCTCCTACATCCCAACACTTTTCCCTAGCCTGGAGCCTCCTCCAACGCTTCTCCTACACCCCAACATTATGTCCCAGCCTGGAGCCCCCTTTCAGAGTCAGTACCCCTCCTTCACTGCCCCTGCACCTCAACACTCTGCCCTAGCCTGCAGTCTTTTCTTCCATCCAAATTCCCTCCCAGAGCTTGCACCTCTCACTCCCTTCCTGCTCACAAATCCCTTGATGCCAGCCCAGAGCCTACACCACCTGTCACAGCCCAGTGAAAGTGAGTGAGAGTGGGGGAGACCAAGTGATGAAGAAAGAGAGGGGAATAGAGTGGGTGGGGCTTCAAGGAAGTGGCAGGGTAGATCCTGGGTTACCCTGATAATTTAAAAGTGACTTTGGTGTAAAAAGGTTAGA